AGCTTTTATTTCAGCTTCTCTGGGTGGTCCCCCCGTAGAAATAAAGATAATGAAGTCTCATGCTCAAGGCATGCTGATTGTATCAGTAATGGGCATGTTCATCATTTTCAGTGACCCTCTGCCTCATCAGTTTGTATATATAGCCTAGCAAAGCGCAGTCCTGCTCACATTTATACAGACAATATTTTTAAGGCTGTTTTGTAAATACACCAATTGTATTTGACTGCCTGCAGCTTAATTCCCAAATCCCGAAAATGGCTAGATTGGTGGTTTCTAGAGTAGTTTAAAAACTCTTTGATGAATTTGTGCATACAATGTGATTAGTAAGTGTACACTGTCAGAGCTGTTCAGTGATTTCACCTTTGCTTAACCGTGATTCTTAATATCGTAGGCAGTGATGTGTTTGGTAAAAGAGGATTTTGCTTTGAGGAAACATGGTCTCATCAAAATCAAATGGACCTTTACGTTGCAATAAACTGTCATTCATCTTATGTAAGAATTATGTTTACCCATCTTTCATATACACATATTCAAATTACAAAATGTAATCCCTTGTGTAACCCTGTGGTCAATTCTGGTCCAATATCTAACAGTCTGTAGCTCCATCTATGGCAGTAATTACACCTCAGCAAACACCACTGACAATGATCACTAAATGGAGTTTATTACAGACATCTGGGTGAAAGGTTAGATCCCAATCTGGAGGTTTGCTCACCTACTGATATGAATCTCACACCCAGGACTTTCCTTCACATGTTCAAATTACAACATTTGCTGTCAATACAGATATTACAAGGGCACTTGGTGAAGATCTCTCAGAAACATATACCCCTCAGCCTAGGTCTAGGTTTTTGTAATTGCTTAGAACCTACGGATAGTAAGATTTGAGTGAGTATGCTCGGGGAGAGTTCTGCTTAATTGGAGTTTTCAAAGGACTTTCAGTTCAGTTTTTTTAATGTGGTATCACTGAATTCCATTGATCATTTGTGACTGAGCTATTAAGAGTAATTATTTAATAAGAATAATTCAAGACAATACAGTTTTAAGGAACATTAACAGGAGCCTACAGTACAAGTTATAACAAGAAGGGGCTGGTTATATTAACAGTTAACAGGCTATATTACAATCACAAATCGAGGCTCAGATTTGATCTTAAGACCAGTTACGTTATAATAAACAGATCAGGATTCATTCTGAGCTCAGATTTTGATCCTACTCTCAGACAGGGATTATAGCTTGATCCTACTTTTTCAGAACCAAAGAATTGCATCTCATTAATGTAATTGCATTTTTCAAAATGAGTACTGTGTGAATTTAGGCAAATGTAACTGTCACAATTAAGTTTAATTGGAGAAGTACAGATACTATACTATCATGGTCTTCCAAAATAGAAAATTAAAAATTACAGATAAGTTAAACATTATAGTGGAGCTAGCGAAATGAGCACATTTATGCCTCCCTGCTTTTTACAACATTTAGTTTTCAGACTCAATTTCTAGCAATTGGAAAATGTTTTGTGTCTGCAAATGACATTTATTGCAGCCTACCCTAGTGAAAGAAGAAATAATGCTAGAAAATAGTCATTTGTAATTGAAAAGCTTAATAGAAGCTTTTAAACATATCAAAACATTTCAAGAAATAGGAATTTGTTATTTGTAATGCCATTCTGTGATTGTTCTATATAAACAGTAATACAATTATTACCAGTATTACATAATATTAATATGAGTGGTAACAAGTAAAACTACTTGTGCATTGAACAGGGCATGTTACAGTGTAACAAATAACTTTCACAGAAAATGATTTAAAGTAAATGGCAGGTTAGTATTTCCAGCTTCCAAATCTCTAAACTGCATTTCTACAGCCCTCTTCCTTTAATACTTTATCTCCCTAGTTACCATTCAAGCTGCTCATAAAAAAAATCAGATTAGCTGAGTACAATTTTGTTTATGATGCAGTGAGCTTGGATTCAATGTTACCCTTTAGCTCGTGAGTATAAATGGAGAAGGCACAGTCACACAGTGGTTAGGATTACTGTCTGGCAGCACTGGGGCCCTGGGTTCAATTCCTAGGGTGCTATCTGTGTGGAGTTTGTATGTTCTCCTAGTGTTAAGGTGGGTTTCTTCGGTCCAAAGACATACTGGTGGGTTAGTTGGCTTGCGGGAAAACAGGGCTTGGTGTGAGTGTGTGCATGTTTGTGTCTGTATGTGCCCTGCAATGGACTGCCGCCCCTGCTGCTTGGAAATGCTTAGAAATTAAAGATGAATTGTCAAAAGGAACTTGGCTTTGGACCCTGGGAAAGGGCTGTGTGTTACAAACACTGTCTACAGGAACTCCTTTCATGTCAATTTCATGTTTCATGTTTCATGTTAAAAGTAAGTGCTATTTATGTAGTACTATGTACTCTATGTGAAATAAATTAAAGAAAGAGAGCACATGGTTTGACAAAATGCCATGTGGTTGGGGGTGGTCTCTTAATGCTCTATTCTTTGCCCTCTCAGGGGCTAATCTCGCTCACAACCCTGTATTGGAAGAAGTGTTTAGAAAATGGCTGCATAGTGTACAGATGATTCCAGGTGTCAGGAACAGCTCAGGCAGACTTGGTTGGTTGTACACTGAGCACTGAGCCTCTGTAAAGCTCTGAACTCTCTCACTTTAATATTGCTTTTTTTTACAGTAGATTCTGCTTCCGAGGGATAGACACCAGGTTGTTAAGAAAACTTAAATGTTGTTTTTCTTTTTAACTTGGAAACACCAGTGATTTTTTTGCTATGTACCTACCCAATTACCTGTTGGCAATCGTTTTAAAAAGATCTCTGGCAACAAGCCTAGGGCATGTTTGGGAGGAGTGAGAGGTGAGCACATGCTCCTCCAACTCACTCAATGCAGAGCCAATCATTATTTTATATGTTACGATAGCAGCAGTACCTGACAGGAACATTAGCACTCACTGGATTGTTGTTCTTCCTTCCTTCAATGTCTTAGCAAGCCTGCAGGTATCCGGCAAGTCACAGTGGTTTCTGCTTGCCAGAAATCCGTGAAAGACCCGATTTGGCTGCCAGATACCAACCGTACTCCTAGCAGAGCACTGCCAATTGTGCCACACATTTGGAGAATCCGGGTCACGGTCAACCATCTGGATCATGAATCTAGCACTCAGAGTGCCCTTGCTGCTTGGCTACCCAGGAGATTCGATCAGTTATGTACATGTATGAATATATATGTTTATTGAACACTTGCTCATCCTAACAGATTCCATCTGGATCAAGCCAGTAGTTACTGCTGGAACTTCACACACAGAATTGCAGAGTATTGACTTCTACTTTTGGAAATTTAACCCCCTGTCTGAATCTGTATATTGATGCTTTGCTATGAATTATTGTTCAATAAACTATGAAAGATATTATTTATAAGAATAATTTAGTGGGTGGCATTGATGCCTTGCAGCACTGGGGCCCTGGGTTCAATTCCACACCTGGAGTTTTTGGGTTTTCGCCAGGTGCTTTGGTTTCTTCCCCAAGTCCAAAGACACACAGGTAGATTCATTGGCTTCTTGGAAAATTGGCCTTGGTGTGAGTGTGTGTGTGTGTGTGTTTCTGTGTTTTGTCTGCACCCTGGCATCCCTTTGCACATTCCTTGCCCCCGTGACCCTGAATTGGATGAAGTAGTTAGAAAATGGATAGATGGACAAATAGTTTAAAAACACAAACAAAAAGCATTCATGAATAACACTACTCAAAATACAGTGTGCTAATGTATTTGTGTGCTTTTGTATAGCACAGTCAGCGCTCCTTCATGGGTCGTGCATTACTGGGGATTGTTACAGCAGTAAATATAAATTGTACATTTCTTTTCAGATGCAAAAGAGCAAAAGGTAAGGTCTCTTAATCCCGGAAAATCAATAACCAAAAATTCCCTTCGGAGGGTTGCCGGGAACCTTCCACCAAAACCTTGTTTTAAAAGAACACAAAGCAGGAACATAAAACAGCATTGCATAAGCAAAAATTACTGTATATGGTTTGGGTTTCATGGACTTGCATTTTGAAATTCTTGTATGGTACAAAGTTCAGGCCTCATGTTCAAGCAGTGTAGACACTAAGGTAGCATAGTGTAGCCTTGGAAAAGAAACAAAGTTATAATGACATCTAGTTTTGGGATGCACTTCTTTAGTAATTTTTCTTATTGTTCCATGTGCTCACAGTTAGAGTTGTTTGTCATGTAAAATGAAGGTTATGAAATTGAAGTACATGATTATTGGCATCTGTTATGGAAAAAGCCTATCTGATGCTTGATGACAGGTTACACAGATTTTGGATAACAGAAAAAAGGATATGTTAATAATTGTCATAATAATTGTATAGGTTCATATGGTGTAATGCCTTGGAGAAAATCCCAGGAGTCATGCCATATTAGCTCAAATACCACCCTGAAAAAAATTTAAATAGAGCATCATATCACTTTCAATAGCTGTTTATCCAATTCAGGGTCACAGTGGCCTGGAGCCCATTCTGGAAAGTATTGGGCACAAGGCAGGATACACCCTGGATGGGACGACAGTCACATTTCCCTTAGGGCCAATTTACAGTAGCTAATTTACCTACCAGCATGAACCAGGACCCCAGCGCTACAAGACAGCAACGCTGCCCACTGTGCCACCATGCCACCCTTTGAACAAAGCAGTTTTCCCATATGTCTCTGTGCCTACAATAAAATGTCATCCTTCTGCATCAGGTCCTGCATTTTGCTAACACAGTCTAGATTGCTATATTCTTTGCTCTGCTGTGTTATGGTTCTATTATCCTCCAGGGTAGTGTTGCCCATTTTAATATTTAATATGAATATGATTTTTAAGAGGCACAGAGATCCAGAGAATACACTTTTGCGGACATTAGGAAACCTCTTTAATCTGTTAAATTCTGTCATCTGCAACTCCTAGTGTAAAGCTCCAAAAACATCAGTCACCGTGCAGCAGGAGAAATAAAACAAACCACACAACAAAACGGCTGATAATGTTGTGTTTATATATATACAAAGGCCAAGATGAATACAATACAACGTCTTTTTTCTTTTTCTTTACAGAAATCTCCAGCGTTTTTCACACAGACGGATAAAAGGCAGTTACATTTCTTGAAACTGTAAATAATGAAATAAAAAGTTTTTTTTCTTCTTTATTAAATATGGGAGAACCCAAACCAGGACTGCATTCCCAAAACGCAATATAAAAAAGTATATTCCTATAAAGAATGGACCCGTAAAATTCAGAAGGCAGATTGATGGCAAAAACCATCAACCACAAAGACAAGGAAAGGTACTGAAAAGGCAGTGTCTTAAGGGAACATCAATCTAAACTCCTTGGCTTAACTAGTGGGTCATTAGAAATGATAAGCAGATCTTAAGAGGTTAATTTCTTAGAACAATGATGATGCACAATTAAAGGGATGTGAGTAAGAAGCACTTAATTGATGTTCGGCATGATGCGTTGAAACTATTGCTCCTTGTTCCCACAAAATATTTAATCAGTGTTTCAGAAGATGTCACTCACCACATTCTTTTACCACATCAGACTAAAAATCCTCAAATGTAAACGGCAGTAAAATGCAAGGAGCTCAGTTAAGCCATTCCTCTGTGTTTTTTTCCTCTCCCTCTGATCTGAGCCATAAAATGTTTCTTTACTGCCTGGTTTTAGGGCAGTAAGGTCATTGTCTTATCATTGGCTATTAAAATAAATGAGGATTCTAGGAGTGGCACATCTCTTACTGTAAAAAGTTTTGGCACTGCAGTGGCTGGGATTAAACCAATCTTTAAAGAAGATATAGACGTTTGGGGCAGCATGCTTTCAGTTCACCATGAGAAACACTAAGCGTTCATGAATGTTTGAGATTGAGTTGCTTTGCCTATTGTTGGTATTGAAACATATCATTCAAAACGAGCATGACCTATTTTTCTCATCATTTCTATTTGAAGCTACAATCTAAAAAATGTCACTATCAGAGATAAGGGGCAAGTTGTAGATTTTTTATGTTCTTTTTCAAAGGAGAATTTAAAAAGTTAAAAATACCATCCATACAGCTCTTGTGATGATGTTTTGTATGGCTGATTCCATGTTCCTGATTTTTAACAATACATTTATGGACTGCATAAGGAGAATAATCCTACAATGGATTTATTTTGTGCAATAGATAATATATGAATTTAATATCTGAAAACTAACGATACCATAGACTATTTTTTTCTATGGTTCATCTGATACTACTCTAACTTCAAAGATAAAAAATCCCAGTCTTTACAGTGGTGAGAACAACTTCACTACTTTACTTATAGACGTAGACATTGCTTGGATTATATTCAGCACGAGAAGGTACAAAATTAAAGAAAACAAAAAGCGGAGTCTTATATTTACAATTTTGTTTTTACATTATAACATAAAAAAACTTAACAGATCTGTATTCAGCAACATTTTATTTCATGGGATGCAAAATGAACTTCATAGATGAACAAGAACTAAATGTATATTTTACCAGCAGCCCCAATAGAATAGTATCATAGTCTAGAAACAGAGGTCTTGGATTGTAAACCTAAAAGAAGCAAGTCTAGGTTGGAGCTCTCCCCAGATAGACACAAATGTTATTTTGAGATAGGCTGATGGAAAACACGTTGTAGGTTCAAAAATGCAGTCTCAGAATCACACGGACATAACCAACAGGCTGCAAAAAAGAAAAACGAAAAATATAGAGATACCAAGTACAGAAGTACAGTACTTTTCAAACACACAGAAACTTTTCAAGATTGTTGCGCTTACACCTTGTTATGACACTAAAAAGGTTTCCCACAAGTGTATTGTTTTAAAAAGATTTTGGAGGGAGGGGCAGGGGGGCAGCCATTTTGTTCAGAAGGATTGTTTCCTTCCCCTCAGACTGTGCAAAGTTTCATACTAGATCTATCTATCCATGTATTTATATACATATATGTAAAAACACGCCTGTCAGAACCGTCACTTGAAGTTTCAAAATGAACTACTGACATACAGGACTAATGCACTCATTTTTTTTCCATGTTATACACATTTACAACATTATCGGGTTCATTCATTTTTTAAAGGGACCTCACAATGTTTTGCAATTCAGAGATAACCTTGGAGCTGTAGGAGTATTGGATGGCTATCACGGTTTTATGTAAAAAAAACATACAAAAAAACTGAAGGCTGTCAGGATGCTCGTTGTGGTGTTGGGGGCAGAGGGTTGAGCAGTACAAAGTTTCTAAATGTTGCATTTTGACTTCTAGCACCAGAGATCAGCTGAGCCCCCTTAAAACCTCACACTTCCAATACCTTCAGGGTTTCACTAATATTCAACAGTTAGAAGTTTTTATCTTTTTTAAAATATAAAAAAAACTCACTACATAAACACCTCTCTTACCAGATCTATGACGCCAGTGACGCTGAGAGCCAGAACGCTGCAGTATTTTAATAAGTCACTGAAACATGCCAATGACTACAGACTTAGGTAACAGCAAGGCCAAGAACTGATTCAATAAAGTCAAAAGGCTATGATGGGCTTTCCAGCACCAAAAGTGAGTATTGCTTATCTGACATTTTTTATTTAAATGGGAAGAAGACACTGTGTTTAAGTTAAATACTAATGCAACACTGAATATGCCTGTTATCTATTAATGATACCCAAATATACAACTTTATTTTCAGTGCTTTAAAAACGCAGTTCTGTTCAGTAAAATATGCAATTAAAAAAAAAAACATGCTAATTTTCCTATGGGACAACTGTGTGTGGTATGTTTAATGTTTAACTGTATAACCCATACAGGTCTTAAGGTTTAGTCAATTTTGTTGGCCAGAGCAAATGTTTCACCACAATTCCAATAACAAAGGAGGGAACCAATTTGTTAGCTGCACCGTAAATTATCTTTCAGAAGTCAGTCAGTTAGCCTCGATGAGATAAGAGTAGAGGCTGCATCAGGTCCCAGTGCTGTTACAAGTACATTACATGGTATGATGTAATGTATTTAATTGAAAGTACAAACTCGGTCTAGGCATGGAAATTTCCATTTAAATGTTTTTTGAAGACAAGGAAATATTGAAGGATTACATAAAAAGCTCACACCTACTAACATGCTTAAGTCAAGTTAACCTGCTTAAGTCAATAAGACATTTTACATTCGGGTGTTCTATTTTAGGTGAAAAATGCACATTAGTCATCAACTTCAGAAGGTCCCAAACAACTAGTCTTCTATTTTTCTTGTGGTGTCAATTGCAGTAAGAAGATGCCTTGATTTGTGTCCTCAAAATTGAAAGAAAACTAGATCTCTTAACACCAGCAAGAACTTCATTTGGTAAACCAATCAACTTAGACGAGAAATGGATCTGAGATGGTTTGAGATCATTTTATCTTTTAAATAAAAAAGCTTCTTAAGCCTTGAAGTGTGTGACAAGGGAAAATAAAACAATTTGTGATTGACTGTAAGGACTGCTGAATGCTGGGAAAGAGCTGAATTTCTTTTTGGATTTATTTATATTTTATCATGCAGGGAATGAGTTAACGGTTTGGTAATCCAAAACATGCTTTAAAATCAACCTTTAATTCAAAAGGTAACTGATGTGGCTTATCTGTTTATAAAGTAAGCTTTTAAAAAGGATCCTCTGAAGAAATGTAGCTGGTGTGAGCCCACAGAAATTCTTCAAAATGATTCCCACATCACAGGCTATAAATCTCATTCACTCTGTATGCATCTGTTTAGTCTGAAGCTGCTGTTTGGGCAGTAAAGTGTGAGATATTGACCATTTACACCTTCCATTCATAATTTAACAGAAGCAAGAGAAACAGTTGGTGTCCTGATGAGATGTGTCTATACATCCAGTTTACAGATGTGAGAAGAGAACTGGAGAAAAGTCTTGGCAAAGCTTTTCCAGGGGCAAGAGAACACAACTTTATATGGACAAGAACCTGACAGCAAGAGAGATCTGCTTTAGCTCCCTGGAAACAATCAAGGGCTGTGTGCTACAAGGAAAACTTCTGTCTCTTCAAATATGTTTTACAGTGCACCACGGTCACTTTTAAGAATTTCCAGTTCATCGGTGGGTAGAGTAACAAGCAATAAATCAAACCGCAGATCCCTTTTCACGAGCTCGTTCAGGTGACTTTATCTTGTCATTCCTAACATGTAGCTCATAATAACTAAAAAAAAGACAACAAAAAATAACAATGAAATTATTAGCTGTCTGTACCGGTGAAAAAATGTAATGAGTCTTTTTTTTAGAACTTCTCTCTGACACTAAGAAATAAAACACTCTTGTGCGATTGAGATAGTGTAGTTATCTATTGAGTTCTAAAGATACCCCATAACTTTTTTTTCTTGCAACATCTGAGATTATCCTTAACCAGACTCAGGGCAGAGATTCATTACGAGAGACTATACTAAGCCTTTGGGCTCTGTGCAGTCCAAGTGTGAAACAGTCAAAGGCTTGCTTTGATAACAGTGAAGGTCTCCATGCACTGTGAATGTAGATATTGACATTAGAAAGGTCATGCTATAATAATTTCTGAAAGGCATAAATGTAGAAGAAGATATTTCCTTTTGACAAATGACATTAAGGTCCAAGATGTTATACATCACCAGTTTCTGAAGTTGTCTTTTTGTTAAAAATTTCAATGAAGTTAAACTACATATTTACTGTGTATGTGTATATAAATAGCTGGCTTTGTGTTAAGCAGATTCTTTTGAAACCTCATATTATAATACTTTTTGACATTCTCAGCATTTTTTCTCCTCTAACCACACAGTGGTTCTGTTAAACGTAGTAGAAGTAGGTTAACGTCAAAAAAAAAAAGGCTGGATTTGTTCACAAATGGCTGGCCTCAACTTTTAACTCTACCCAGTGTAGAGTGAGAATTACAACAGCAAAACTGTTAATAACCAGTTCACTGCTTGATCAAATTGGACAGGTAAGTAAGATGACACAACAACTCCAGCTACTTGATGACAGGTCAGAGGTCATTTTGGCATTGCTGTGAAGGTCAGCTCCAACAAAACAGGTAAGCTTCAATACTTTCAAGCAACACAAAAAAGCAACATTCTTAAATCCTTTAGGGCTTTTCCTCGTTTGTTTCCCCTTTTGCCCTTATGCCTTTTAAGAAAGAAACCCCATCTTGGAGGGGATCCCAAATAGCCTGTTCAGAAAAGACACCTCTAGTCCAGAAATGCTTATTCCACTCTGGGCAACAGCATTACATTAACAGTCTTTTGTGACTGGGATTCCTTAAGTTGTGCCACTGACACAGCGCACTGGCAGTGCATGAGTGAGCAACATACAGTATGAACATGCAGTTCAGTGCAGCAAAGCTCACAGCAGAAAAAAGGTTATGGGGCTATCCAGTGCTCCACTCTCCTGTGCAGCTGTGAGGGCTTTTGAGAGGGATAATAATTTCCTATATCTTATTGAGGTGCACAAAAAGAAAAACAAAGGCAAGGAACACACTCACATTCTCACTGAACCCAAAAGAAAATAATGTTTCATGGAGATGCACCACAGGACCTAATCTGGAAACTCAGACGCAAGCCCAAGGCCTTTGACAACAGATGAACTGCACAGAGGACAATGAAATATGCCAGAAAATTCAACAGTGATTGCCTACTTTCCACAGCTGGTGGATAACTTGAAGGCTTTTATCCACAACGCTGTTACTCTGGAGCCCATATATCTTAATTGCTGATTAAAGAGGCTGTTTACAGTGAGCTGATGATGTGATCTGTGAAAAATGTGCTTTTGCTGTCACTGACGAAGCTCAGTTGCTCAAGGTGTGTGAGCAACGCGTCATTCTTTCCTGTCAGCAAGAAAGGATGTTTATTTCCCCATAGCCACCCTGTGTTTCTGTAAACATGCACTCATAAAGCTGATACACCCAATCTGCCGGTCTGTTCAGTACAGCTCATGGGATAGAGATGTCAATGACACAGATGTCAGGGCCATTTCTCATGATGTGATCAAAAAAGCTTTGGAGAACCAACTCAAAATCCATTGGGGTTTTATGATGAAGTGTGAAAAGGAAAGCAAAGTACTGGGACCAATGACGTCAAAGAAACAAAACCCAACTGCCGCCAGTAGAAACAAAACAGTTATGTCCATTTGTCTCATTAACTACTGCCTAGGCTGCATAGATTATTCTTCTCTGACTTGATAGAAGTATGATTCTGAATAGTGGGCATAGTGGGCATTAAGCTGATGGTATTTTACCATTTTTATGTTGTGCATTTATCCCCCTGATTCTAGAGGCCACGAGTTCTGGTATGCGACTAAATTTCAATCCCTCTCCTGTCAAGGCCAACTGAAACCAGCAGTCAGCACCACATGGCCCTGCCTAATCGCAGAATATGTGTCAGATACCTTTGCCCCCAGAAAACACGCCCCTCTGAATAGCTACAGCTGAGATCTCCACGGTACATCTGTGGCTACTCAACAGTGACTTAAATAACAGGCCCTGACTTTAAGTACGGCCATGGTTATCAACCAGGGGTCTGGTAATCCTTAGGGATCTTCAGAAACAGTCCAAAGGCTCCCAAGGAATGAAAGAAAAAAGGACTTCAATTCAAAAGCCTAGTACAATTCAGGACTTGCACACGACGGGTCTGCTTTCCAAACATTTAACAGCAGTCCTACTTACCAGGCATTCTGTTTTGAGAATTGTATAACTAATAGTGGAATTATGTATAAAAATGACAAATTTAAATTCGACTCCCTGTTGAGAGTAGTGTTTGGTTGGAGAAGCCTTAGCATTCTGATTCACTAGATCCTAAGGTTCCTAAGAAAGGAAAACTGTCAGACATCAGACCAGGTGACCTGCCTGGAAAGCATCTATTGTATTGCAGTGTATAAATGGCCTATGGTAGATTAAAGGCCTTGAACACAGGGAGGTTGTCTTTTTTACTGAGACAGCACAGTTTTCAGAGTTTAAATACCTCCACTATAAAAAGCAAATCCTCCAATTTGCTTCAGGGCCTATGACATGAGAGCAATACTGAGAGTGATGGCGGGGGAAGAGAAAACAAGAAACCTTTCCTAATCACAGCCGCTGACACAAATATATTTCCAGCAAAAACTGTGAAAATTGCAGAACAAAAAATGCTTTCAAGAACTGTACTCCACTTAATCTACCCATGTTATCAAATTGTACCAAACAGCAGCAAACAGAAGGCTGATGGCTGATAGCATGTCCTCTAGACTTTTCTTCTTTTTTGTTTATGTTTCATGTTTCTTGTTTTCTTTCTTATCCAGCTTTTTGAAAGCAAAATGTTTTACTTTTGTGTGTTAAACATTTAATTCAGTATTTGATCTCCTAATGCCCAGCTAATCCAAGAATGCTCCTGTTTGTGCGTGCTGGGAAAACTGATAAAAACAGTATGGTGTGTCAATTTGATAAGAGAGAGCAAAGAGTGGCGGCTCTCTAACAAGAGTTGGATCACGCCTGCCGAAGGTGAAATCACTGCATTGGAATGATTTTTATATTCTTTAGTTACAAAGGTTTCCTGCAAAGCGCACTCATCATCAATTCTGGATAACTTTATTATTGCTATATTGGGACACCGCCTTTAGAATAACATTTTGTAGATGCAGAATAATGCCTGCAGAGTCATAACAATCTACTTTATGTCTATACATGACAACATCTGTACTCTATATGAAATCTTGTAAGTTACTTCTCCATTCTACCATTCAAGTAGTATTGTGTGATGCAAACTTTACTAGTATATTCTGTGTTGCTTGCAAGGCCCACTGTTATTACTGTATATAAGACACGAGCCTGTTTCCTGGGAGTCAGATTGATCCAAATTATCAAAAAAAAAAAAACACAACTAAACACCCAGATCAGGATGATGAAAACCCAACACAAAACCAGAAAACTTACAGCATGTGCAAGTGATACAGTGCTTGTGCAGGGGAAAAAGTTCTAAGTATTTTTAACTGAACAGAACAGCGTGGCCTGGATCAGTTCCTACCTGTTTGGAAGACTGGTAGCCAAAAGACCTATAAGTGTTTGTTACTTAGCAGTTTAAAAATAACACCAGAGTACAAGAACTATACTACATCTTGCAAAATAACCAGTTTTAAACGCACTGGGATCTGGTGGATGTCAATAGATATTCTATGCCAGAACAATGCCACAGATTCATTTGATGTTATTTAGATGTAGCTAAACAAAGTTGGTAAACAAATACTTTTAATATACATCTTCTAAAAAAATTCCCAATTAAGTTGATATTTAAAAAAAACCCAATGTTTTCTTCCTTCACACAAATGGGACGTAATAAGATTAACGAACTGCCTTGATTGAGGTATAATTTTATAATGTCACTTGGCTGCCTTCAGGGGTGCACTCTTGTTTAATTTATCTTTATTTCAATGCTTTTTGTGATTATTTTTCACTCATAAACATCGTAGGAAACAGATGTAGATTTGCTGTAAGCCGAGGGAATACAGGAACCTTTCGGGAATAAGCTGTTTGACACATTGCACCTGTTTGTCAGCAGTTTATAGAACATTTTACAATTAAAATACAGCCAGTTCATCTCCACAGAGTTAGTCTGCTTAGCTACATTCAGTCAAGTGTCTATTTCCTCAGCCAAGAACTATGAAACCCCAATTGTTTTTATGTGCGAGTTTAACTTTTTTTAATGGATGGTTAAAAAAGAAAACTCCCATGAAGATACAGCACTGAGGTCCTATGTACAAATGAACAATTACAACACAAAATTAGATAACAGTTCTTTTCATCCAAAGACAACATGGTATCACTAAGGGTGACCAGGAAATTGGTAGATCTTTGTTTCATGAAACCATGAAAACAATAACAAAACAAAAAATAGCAGCAAAAATTTGCAAATAAAAGGCATTTATATAATGTTTTTCAACACCATGAAGAGAATGTTACCTTATCCAAATGATTAGTATGAGTAATAATATAGTATCATTTAAATTATGGTTTAAATGGATAGCTAGCATACAGACTGTTACCAAATAGTTTCAAGCTCCTTTTGTGAATGATGCATTTAATTCAAAGAGGGTTACACTTTTAGAGAGATGTGTGTCTATAATCTTCTGGTCTCTTTTAATTCAAGGTAATGTCTACTCTTTCAAGTCAAGTTAAGCTTTGAATTCTAATACAGTTTTTAATTGCCATCAGCAAGACCTGTTGAGAACTCTTTTACACATCATAGATTTCTGTAATCTCAGTAGCAGAGCAGAGCTGCATTGTGCTACTGGTTGCCCATTCATTTGGCAAATGTGATAAAATTAAATTCTGCATTGATATGTCAGTAATAAAATAATTAACAAAGTGCTCTCCCCAGTTCCCACAGTAGCTATTAAGATTTATTTATTTGTAAAGCTTATGTCAATGGATGAAGGTGAAACAATACCTTGCTTTTGTTAACAAGTTTAAAAGACTGTACATACAATTAAAAAATGCGGGATGAATAGCACATTAGTGCCAAATGGTCATTTAAAAGTGCAGCCCTCCCTTGAATTGAAATATGTTGGTCAACAAAAGACTTCAGAGCTCGAATCTTCTGTATTCAGCACACTTGTAGTAACAACTCCAGGTGAAATTCTGATATGATCTATTCTGATGTTTTCAGAGCTACGTCTGCAAAGCTAAAACTTTCACCCCAGAGCTTTTAATTTTCCTATATCATAATGAAATTCAAAGGCCTTGTGTCAAGTAACATTATTATAGCCACGGAAAAGTGACCTGTCACGACTGTTAGTAACTTTTCAATTTGCCTTTTACAACAGTTTGTAACAGCTTTAAATAATAGATTGGTTTTAAAGATTTTAAAAGTGAACAAAGAGAAAAAAAACAATAAAATAAAACAGCATGCATGCAAAACTAAAACTGTCACCTTGTTTTCTTGACAATGCTGTTGCACCTAGAGATTATAAAATCTGTCAATGTTAAATCTCTTTTGGATGCCACATGGCTAGACATTCAACTGAGCTTTCCTGAATAACATACGGGTATATTTTAAGCTTTCAGCAGTGAAGCCCTGTAAAAGAATTGTAATCAATCCTCATATTTGTAATGTAAATTTGGCCTAGGTAAGGAGGTGTGGTTATTATTTGACTCTTATGACAGTCAATAGAAAAAGTGTACAATTTGATATTTATATGTCAGCTTGTATATATAGTGTATATTTGTATCCTGTGATGATCAGGCAAAGCTTTGTATTCTAGTGTTCAGTTCTGAAGAAACTGAAATTGTGCAGTTGATCTGTCTCAGGAGCTACACTCAGGTGTGTTGCTACTGACAGACAGCAGCAGAGTTAGAAGGTGCAGGATACAAAAAATACACGGAAACTGACAATTAAACTTTTCTACCTTTTCTATTGGGCAGTCATTTGACCTTTATCTTCGCTCATGAGCACTTATTTCTGAAAGTAATCAAGCTGAGCCTCAAAACTAAACTGTGGACAAAACTAAAATCTTAATTTTAAAGTTGGTATTTCTGTTTGCCATTTCTTTAGCCCAATTCAAGTGGGATTCGACGGCTGCGCTCTTCTCTAATCCTCTTCTGATGTAAAACTCGAACGCACACTCACGAGCTCCCAGAGGGCAATGTGGCAGTATGGGAGCAGGCAAGAGAGTGATGGGCCTGGGAGGCAGGCGTCAGCCCAGCAGGTTGTCACGACGACTCCTCCAGGGCGTTGACGACCTGCTCCAGGATGTCGGGGCAGTGGTCGGCGATCTGTTGCAGCACTGAGTTGGCGTACTCCTGCAGCTCGGCACTCTCCTTCTCGCACTTCTCAAGTTCCGCCTCCAGCTGCATCACGGGAGAGAGAAGAGGGAGGCCAGAGGCTTAATTTTTTTTTTCCTGATGTCTGCCTTCTTTTTCTTTTAAAACAATTAATGGGAGACTGATAATCAATGTGGCTGTCCACAGCAGCACTTGTGACAAAAACATATGGATCAGAACAGCTGCAACTCTGCCAGATAATTCTGGAAGCACACAGATGTTCAGACATGGGGGCTGACTGCATGGCGAAACAAGGAACAATTGAACAAAACTAAAAGTTTTGTTTCTCCCATCATTACAACTATCTACACTCACAAATGCCAAACACATGTTTTCAAGAGAAATCCTTATACACACTCAGAATGAAAAAAGGACTTGAGCATGTAGGTAATTTAAAAAGACAGCATAGTACTCAGAGTTTATCACTTTATCATTTACTCATACGATCACTGTGCTCCTTTTTATAAATTACAGCACACGACGCAAGATATTACTCACGATGAACAAGATGCCGGCTCTTTCTGAAGAATAGTAACCTCCCCCCTCCCCTTAAGAGCAATGCGCTTACGAAGCGCAAAATAAGTAAAAGGAACAAAATGAATAAAAGGCAATAATGTGAAACACTGAGCTCCCGATGCACGGAGAGGTAAGAGGTCTCCAGGGAGTATTAGTGCAATGCAGAAGACCATGGCAGCTCCTGCTTCACTCCGGGATCAGACCTGAAGCTTCAGCCCGGCATTCCACAAGCCCTCAGCTGAAGTTCCGCTGGGGTCAGAGGTCGCAGGAAACGCCTGACAGGTGCAGCATAAAGAAGCTGGAGGAGTCTAAAGGAGTGATCTGTGAGAGCCAGCCGTCTGGGAATGATTTAGCACTTGGCCGACTGGCTAGCGCAGTGAATTAACGCACTCTCAAACAGATCAGCCTTCAAACCCAAGGCTTGACTGCTGCTGAACAGCTCCCAGGCACTGCTTTTCTGTAGTTCACGACAACACATCCATGCCTGTTCTTTCAGAAGAAAGTATGGGGTTCTTAAAGGGAGTACAGATGTTTTGTTGTGCAAGCTTAGGTATTAAAGACTCTGATCTAATCTTTTTAGAAACATAGTTGAAGGATTACTTGAGTAATTCTTTTTTTTAAAAACACTTTTTAGTGTTTCTCACAGCTCTGCAGGAAGGTACCCAGTAAAAGGCACAATTATCCACATTAATTAATGGAGACGAACAACAACAGACAAGAATTTGAACAGAAATTTTGATTTTTTCTGAGGAATCAAAATTTAAGGAGAGAAGGAAATCAGTTTGACCATTTTTTTTCCAGTATCACATGAGGCTGGCAAGGGTATTGTGACAAAGAATTCCCTCTACCCTTAAGCATTATATTATATTAAGTCTAAAAAATATGATGTCCTCCTAATTCAACTGACTTACAAGTGTCCAGAGCACAGCTGGTGGAGCTCACAGAGCCTAAAATTGTTTCCTTTGAAGCTAGACACTATCAACCAGAACTCTGAAATGGACAAAAAATGTCCAAGAAAAAAAAAAGAAAAACATGCCATTTCCAAGGCTCTGTTCTTCATCAGCTTGATGAGCACTTAAAGAAATTGACACACCAATGCATACCAGCACACACACACGAAAGAAAATACAAAAGTCACAAATTCCATGTGATTTTTGAAAACTTTTTAAATTTTTTCTTTTTCTACCCTGTTTATAGAAAGGGGTTTCACTGCGTCAGACAACTTTGAAACTACTTTAAAATTGTATTTAACGGCGATGATCCAAAACCCATAGTTTTTTTACCGTAGAAAACAGAATGTTTGGCAGGTCTGTAAAGTTATTAAAGTAATTTTCTTTGGCTTAAAAAGGGAAAATTTAACAAGGATAATGTTAAAAGACATCAACTAACTATACACAGAGCCCACATTTTGTTGAAAAATTAGTTTGCTTGGACTGCCCAAAAAAAAGACAGCAAGCCCGAATGTCTTTTCAACCATGGAACACGTAGACTGCATAAAAAGCAAGACACTGTTTCATTAAAAACATGTTAGAAAATTATACTTTCAGATTCTAAAACAGCTTGAGGCACTTCATTAAATAATATAAAAAATAATTTCTGCTATCTGCATTCTCTCTGGCAGGTAGAACTACAGGTCTTATTCTCGGAAGATATCAAGATATGTACAACATAATCCAGTAATACATCTTTACTATATCAAGGGAAACGTGCAGTACTTTCTAAATAAGGGCAATCTCAAAGCTGAAAAGCTGAGATCGTTTAGGACTAATGACTATGCCTAACCGTGTTCTAAAAAGGAAGAACTTGAATTATCTCCCGACTGACACATTAGCCCCCTCCTTTGACCTGCGGTTTTGTCACGGGCAGAGTCATCTTGGTGAAAATTCCTACTGGCTCTCCCAGAATGATCTCTGGACTGCCAGCTGCCCCCCAAATGATATGTGATGAGTGACTGTGTCCTCTGAGGAAAAAGCTACTCTCACAGTTATTGTCCAGCTCAAATGTTTGTACTGTATGATTCAATGAAATAATCCACTGTGAGAGCAAATGATGACATCAATGCAATGCTTTAATGATCGATAAATAAGTCATAAAAGGATGGTGACTCTGCAGATGGTCTGACTGACCTTTTACTGCACAGTGCCAGTCTTAAACTGGGATATTCTAAGTAATGAAAGCTTTTAAGTTCCAATGATCTTTTACTGATAAAAAGTGTAGTTTACAATCTGCTTAAAAAGCTTTTCCATCAAGTTTCCAGAGCTTAAAACTGGATGGGTTACTGCTTTTCACTGATGCCTACAGCAGAATATACTGTATGTACATTAATAAAGGGATCAAGCTACGTTGGGTGATGCATGCTGAAAGATCAATGGTGTAGAGATATGTAAATTGACAGAAAAATAAACAATAATGATCGATGTTAACTAGAAGAGAGAGAAATTCTTGATACAAGGTTACTTTTCTTTCAGTCCTACACATATCTTATTACTGGGGATGTGAAGTAGAGAGACTCACAAGATGTGGTGAAAGTTTCTGAAAATGAAGAATAATGACCCATTGCATCTAAAAAAAACTGAAACATAACAGCTTTTTGCCTTTGTATGTAAGGCAAATAATTAAGATCAACTCTACATCTTGTTCTTTCATTTGTAGGAGTTGTTCTTTCATTTGTAGGAAATAAAATGATGATATGGAAGGAGTTCTGAAAACTAAACATTTAGGGAGACCCATATTATGTCCCTAGAAGTAGTTACGTGTTCCAGTAGGATTCTTGGATCATAAAGCTAACACCCATATCAGTAACAATGGCTTCAAAAAACACACTGGATACAAAAACCAAACTGTACACATTTTACAGATTTTCTTGGTGGACAAAGTTTGGTTTGAAGAACAGAAAATCATGTGAGACAGCTGACATGCAGTAACACCCATAGTGCAGAGCTGATGCTCGTGTTATGGGCCTTTGTGCTGCCACTGACACTCCTAAATCATAGAAAATAAGATTGTTCTGTACAGTTCTTCACTGCTCAGTACTGCAGTTCTATACAGCCATGGATGTTTGTTTGCTATAGACCAAGGCAGAGGAGCAGTCCCCAAGTTCTGGATCAGAGGAACAATTTAAATAAAATTTCATACTCCACACTTCAACTAAAGAATTAGGACTCTCTTGAAAGCATCTACGGATGATCGATTAGGTAACAGCTTTAAAAATATCCTATTAAATCTCTGGAAGTTAACACACCTCATCTGATACATTACACCCACTTTTCAACTAGGAGGTGTAGTTTGGCAAACAGCAGGACTGTCCAAGCACCAATAGTATTACAGAGAGGATAGTTTGCAGAAGAGTACATACAGATCACAGTGTGACTCCACACCAAAGATGTGGATCACAAAGATGACAGCTACTGCACTGGAGTTTTGACAAATCTCTAATGGACTTCATGGTACAGAGCAGTCCAGGAGGGGAAGTATACAAGTTATTAAACCTGGCAGTAAAAAAACTGTAGTTAAACATACCGTAGGTTCTGCAACCCACTCGGCAGTATAAAGCTCTGATAAGTCAACCTTATGTTTTAGTAACTTATATTTCTGCTGTTTAACAAGAAAAACACAATTCAACACTAATGGTTGTTTATTTTTTACAAGGCCTAATCCTCTTAATAGACTCCAACATTAGCTCGACTATGCACATAATGTACGGAAACTTCAATGCAAAAGAAACTGTGTGTGTAATCATTCACACTCCTTATCACTATACCTTACATTTTACTGTCTCCTGGGCCTTACACAAATACTGTAACATGCTACGATGTTGTCATAATGGGACATTAATGACTCTAAAGAGCAAATTACAACCTTGAGTTCAGGGTACACTACTGTGTGTCCATAAATCTTCAAAAAAAATCTATGAAGTGTGCCTCAACACATGGGTACACGCTACATCTGGTCAGGTATCTTTGAGTGTTTGCATTCTGGGTTGCAATACGAAGAAGTGTTTCACACTTGATAATGAGGTTTTGGATGTTGACCTTTTTCCTCCAAGTTTCAAGGAGGTGAATTGTCACGACTATGTACCGTAAGATACAGTATATACACAGTGATCATGTTTTAAAAGTCCTACATATTTTTCTTTTTTTCCGATAGATTGAGAATGAGACATTTTAATTGGTTCAGTGCCACAGCGTGCTCCCTTCATGTGCGCAGATGAGGGGGATGGTTATATCACACTGGACTCATTTTTGGGAATTTCACAGGTTTTTATGTTTGTTTTTAACCAGATTACAACCTAAACTAGTCAATCTTTAAATTGTGCTCATCAGTAACCACAAAATACCTGCGTTCTTTCATGGCTCTTAATCGTCTGCAGCTGGTGAAGCCTGAAGGGGACATCACAGCCACTCATTTTCAACAGAAAAGCAAAAGCATTTCAGTTCATTCCCGATTCTGTTCAAGCCTGCTGTTGTTCACGTCTTGTGCAGAAAGACACTTTACAATCAGGCCAGCTTGTG